GCGGCCGCGGCCAACGAGGAGGCTGAGCAGGTGGGTTCCCCGCTGTCCCCTCGTGGCCCTGCAGCCTGTCCCCTTTGCAGCCTCTGATCATGTCCTTTCCCTGCTCAGCCGCCTGCCAAAAGCGAGCCTGGGAACACGGAGGCAGAGAGGCCGGCAGGCAGCGAGGCAGCCGCAGCGGGGGGGGAGCAGGAGAGCAGCAAAAGTGAGTGCAAAGGAGATCCCAAGGAGTCTCCGGACGACCTGTGCGTGCTGAGCCTGGAGGACGGCCTGCTGCTGCTCCGGGAGGAGGAAGAGGAGGAGCTCGGTGTGTTGCAGGCGCAGAGAGGAGAGTGCAGCCCCTCTACGGGAGGCCGGCAGGCAGCGAGGCAGCCGCAGCGGGGGGGGAGCAGGAGAGCAGCAAAAGTGAGTGCAAAGGAGATCCCAAGGAGTCTCCGGACGACCTGTGCGTGCTGAGCCTGGAGGACGGCCTGCTGCTGCTCCGGGAGGAGGAAGAGGAGGAGCTCGGTGTGTTGCAGGCGCAGAGAGGAGAGTGCAGCCCCTCTACGGGAGCAAAGCGCAGGGACCTCATTCCTGGCTCTCCCTCAGGTGCCAAGCTGGAAGATGCTGAAGTGAGATCCCCTGCGTCCAACCAGTCGGAGATGGAGTTCTCCTCCCTCCAAGACGTGGTGAGCGGAGCCTGGGGGTCCCCCTTGGTCCTCCAAGGGCTTAAGTCAAGGCTGGGTCAACGTGACTGGTGGCTCTGGGGGCCGTCCAGCTCGCGGGATCTCTGAACAAGGATCCCAGGGGAGGAGCAGGAGTCACCAGTTCAATCCCACTCGTCCGGGTGGGACAAGTAAACGGCACCGTGCCCGTATTGCAGCCTCTCCCTTCACTAAGGCCCATCTGCCTTTCAGCAGCCCAAGGACCTGGATCCGAGCGCCGTGCTCCCACTGGATGCCCTCCTCGCCTTCGTGTACTTCGATTCCAACTTCTGCGGCTACCTGCACCGGAGGGACCTGGAGAAGATCCTGCTGACGCTGGGGCTGCACCTCTGCAAAGAGCAGGTGAGCGCCGGGGGCCGCCCCTCGGCGCCGGGGAGCGGCGCTCGGGCGCCCTGACACGCGCCGTGTTGCGGAGCAGGTGAAGTGCCTGGTGAACCGCGTGGTGACGCAGTACGTGTGCCAGTACCGCAACCTCCGCTACGGCCGGCACGACGGCCCGGAGGCAGCAGGCGCCGAGCGCGGCCCGGAGGAGCAGCAGCTGGGTAGGTGCCGGCAGGACGGGCGGTTCTCCAGGCCCTGCTGTGGTTCCCTCCAGCCTAGGCGCGGATCCCGCTCCTCCCTGCGCTCTCGGAGGTCTCGTGGTGGGTGACCGGCTCTTCTTTTCCCAGGAAACCTCCCTCTGCTGCCTCCTGCCCGGCCGCCAGCCGCGGTCTCCCCTCCGCCGCCGGCGGATGCGGAGCAGGGAGGCCTGGTCTCCCACAAGGGCACGGTGCTCAACGTGGGGAAGCTGCTGGAGAAGGCGGAGCAGGCGGAGAGCAGCCGCCTCTATCTGGAGGGCAAAATCCACACGCTGGAGGTCAAGCTTGGTGAGAGCAAAGGGCTGCTTCCCCCCTCGCCTTGCCCGAGCCGGGGAGGCTCCCATCCATGAGCTGCTCTTTGCTCCCCTGGCAAAGCTGCCCAGGGCTCCGCTCTCCCGCTCGCGGCGCTTTGCTGCGGAGGGAGGCCCTGAGCACCTTTGTGCCTGCAGAGGAGAGCCAGAGCCGCCTGGCAGCCACCGAGTCGACCAACAGAGCCCTCGCGGCCGAGCTGCGCGACGTGCAGCGGCGCCTGGCCGAGGTGGAGGAGCAGGCGAGGGTGTCCGAGAGGCAGAAATCGCATTTCCAGCGGCTCTTGCGGGAGCACCGAAAGCGCCTGGGCCCCGTGCAGCAGGAGATCCAGAGCATCCTCGAGAAGGTAGCGCGGAGGGAGCCGGGCTCCCCACGAGCTCCGCGGCTCAGGTGGCCGGAGGTCACCTGCGCTGTCCTCACTCTGCCTCCCTGCTCTTGCAGACCGATAACTGCTTGGAACAGGACCTTCCTTCCTCCAACTGATGTCCGCTGCCCTTGCGGACGGGACCGCGAGGTCTGCGCCCGTCTGGCCGGCGCTGCGCGTCGCAGGCGCCGTCCTCACGCCCCTTTGCTGCCTCGACCCCCTCGCTGCAGGGCCAGGCTGGAGCGGTGCCCGTGCCAGGCCTGGGGCGCCAGAGGGATGTGCAGGATTTGCTCTGACTAGTCACTCCCGTTTAATGGAAACCTCTTAGGTAGGGAATTGTGCAGCCTACTGAGTGCGTGCGGTGCTGGAGCCAGGGTGGCTTGGTGCTCCATAGTTGGCCTCATGAGCAGGGGACAGGCTCGTTTTAAAAGGACAGAGGACCCGAAAGGGACTCGTCAGGGCTGGCGCTTTCTTGTGTCACCGGCCCGCGGGCGGCCGTGCTCCCCGATGCCGCAGAGCCCTGCGAGGGTCTCTGGACTCCGCGCACCAAGCCCCGTCACTGGCTTTGCACAGACTCGATGTCCCCGCTGCTCCCTCGGTGGCCTTGGCCCGGGGGAAGCCCCGACCGCATGGGGACAGCCCAGCCCTGCCAGAGCAGCCTTTGGGGTGGGGGGCAGCCAGGTCCCCTCCACCCTGGCCTTACGCTGCACGAGGGCTCCGGGGGCGGCAAGGGGCGGCCGCCAGCTCGGGCTAGTTCTAATCATTGTTTTAGACTGTAAAGGGGTTACACCTTGTATTTAACTGAAGACATCTTTGCAAATCTCTTCAGCTGGGTGTCCGTGACTGTTCTGCTCTGTTTTTTCCCCCCAGCCCCGCAGTGCCGGGCTCTGCTCGGCCCT